TGATGTCACACAAAACTGTTGGAGAAAAAGCCTTTACCTTATTTGAACTACTAGTGAAGTGCATGTTTTTGTTTCTGCAGAATTTAGTTTCTTATTTCTGAAGGTCAAAAGAGATAAAGATGTTCAAGACTTTCTACTGATGTGGAACTCTATTTCTGTGTCTCCAACCCAACAGGTCTCCATGCTTTAAATCATTATATCCTGATTAAAGTTTACCAGCAACACATCCCTTCAGAAGAAAAAGCTTTTAGGTCAACATGAGATATATGGCATTCGGGGAAAAAGGTCTTGACTTGCATAGTTCTGATCTCAGGTGCTGATTCAGTGCTGTTCCTGGGATCTATCTTTTTGCTCGTGTCTTGGGCTTAGGTAAGTAGACCAGTATTCTCTATACCATTTTGGTTTTTCACCCATTTGCTTCACAGAATGGTTTCAGGGATATAATTAGGTAAGCAGTGTGAAAAGTGTATTCCCAGATGCTTCTTGGTCAGTTCTGCCTGAGGTAACCACCAACTGCCTCTCTCAGCTTAATGATGCCTACTGTTGGCAGTGCTTCTGCCAGAGAGTGAGGTTAATGTCAGGAAATAAAATAAAATCTGCTTAGTAAACACTGCAAAGAAAACAGGTTATGTGTTAATGTGCTTGCACCAGGTATTGCTCTCTGAGGCTTTATTTTCAAGTTTTGTTGTTTAAATTTTGGTTGTCCATACATGGTTAAATTTAAACAAACTTTGAAGAAGCTCGAAATGATAGAGATGAAATGAAGAGATAAAAGATGTCTGTCAGGTGTTTGGCTCCCAGTCCATACTTCCACTAGCATAGAAACACTTGTCTGATCTCAGTTGAATTTCTTAGGTAAGAGACATCTGCCACACACATTTCACTTTTAGAAAGGTTTCTGTAATACTCAATGTCATTTTCCCTAAAGGAAAACCACTGCGGAATTTAACAGCAATAGCTGTAGAGAACATCACAGAAATTACATTTCTATACCTGCAGGACTGAATAGAGATTAATATAACTTACACATTCCTATTGAGGTATTTTATTGCATTTTATAGGAAGAATACCATTTTCTCTTAAATTATATGGGATAGTTTAAAGAACAAGGTTGTAATTTCCTTAACAAATGCTTTTAAGACCTTCCTATGATAGTTCATGTTTTAAATTTCATCATTGTCTCTATAGCTTATTTAGGCAAGTGTGGCCACCCATACGTGACGAAACAAATTAAAAAGGGCACATAATGTTCTAGTTTCGAGTACTTGGGTGGATGGGGTTGCTTTAATATACATATATCATACTCTTCCAAGCTATCAAAGACCTTTGGATGAATTGGGTGCAATATATTAACTCAATTACAGTGGAAACAAAGATCAAAGAATGTAGCTGGGAGGTCTTATTAAAGTATGAGACTTCATTAAAATGTCACTGGTTTTGATTATACTGGATTAAAGTGTCTGAAATTTCACTTAACTTCTTCATGTCCCCTGAAAAGAAAATTCTGCTGGGTTATTCTATAAGTTCACAGTTTGAGAACTTATTTTGCAGTGTTGTTATTAAAGTGGACTTTTCATAAATTGGTAAAAAACACCAAAGATCTTTTTTATTAATTTCTGACACTGAATATAAAATCTCTTTTGCTTCAATTTATTTCCTTTTTTGTTTGTGATTTTTGTATCTGACTTTTAGTCATTCACATCCATCTCGGAAAGACTTCAGATTTTCAAAGGAAATCATAATAAAAACCCCTACTTTTCCTCTATTTAAAAGAAATAAGAACACATGAATGAGATGAACACATAGAAAGGTAAGAAGTCCAGTTTTTCCCAACTGGCAGAGTGGTGCTGAGCTTTCCAAGGAAAGGTGTTAATGGGGAGCAGTTTCTGTGTGCTGCAGTGCTCAGCTGATCTATTTCTGCCTCTCCAGCCAAGAAACAGAATGCACATGAATGCTGAGCACTGCTATCAGTGGTAATAGCCCTTTAAATTGGAAACAATCACTCTAAAGACACCTAACAGACATTTTCTGGTATGTAACAACAAGATTGAGATAAAAATCACTTTTCTTAATTCGTTTATTTTCCTGTTGCTACACATGATGTCAACACTTGTTTGTAATTTTATTAAAATGGTGACGCACCCCCTGTTGTGGCGCAGGAGCAGTGAAAAGTTTGCATATTGCTATCTTGCACATCCATCATATTTTGTGCTTGATATTGATACAGCCCTGCTCAATCTCTCTGCAAGTGCCAGGGTAGAGTCCAGCCCTGTCCCTGTTTTTGTTGGGAGGAGCCCCATTCCATGGGATTTAGGCTTTCAAGGTACATAGCTCAGCATGCACTTAGCAAAACATGAATTCATTCTGTAACTAAATTGATTTCTTGCTTTGCTGTGTACATGCTCCTTAAATTACAGTGCAAGTAAAACACAGAGCATGCACTTCCACCTTAAGTAGAACACAATTTTATGAGCAGCAGTTGCCAGTGTTATGGATCTCCCCACAGATCTGGAAAGGCTCAGGACGAGATAGCAAGGAAGTAGTGTATTACAGATAAACAAGAATAATTCCATTCATTTATGGATTGTTTCAGGGATTCTGAAAGACTCTGCTAATACTGGCTATTAAGACAGAGAAGATGGGGAGGAGAGAAAATCAATTCATTTCTCAATCTATTTAAGTGAACAAAGAATTGTGTGTGAAACTGAACAGAGCGTGTCAACAAAGCTCACACCAAACAAAAAAAGAAAAGCAGCTTTATTTTGCATAATTGTGTCTGAATCACTGAAGATTTGACAGAACCTGTTCCATTCTAAGCCCCAAGGTCTTATTTAGGCAGAGCACAATATCAAATACGCTGTAATGTGTTTTTTCTGGGCTAATCTAACATCTCACAGGATATCACGCAAAAGGACAGCACAGGCAGTTGAGTGGTTTCCTTGGTTTATATTCAGTCTTTGCAGGACTTATTCCATCTGTCTGTTGAAAGCTGCGACACTGCACTGTCAGATCTCTCCACTTTTTTAGGGTGGCTTCCTTATCTCTAAAATAGGAACGAAATAAGAAATATTAGTGTGTTTCTGGTAGGAGAGAGATAAGGTTTAACCTCTGAACACTTGTAAAGGTCTTCAGAGGACACTTCAGAAGTGCCTAATGCTATAAATTCTGGCTTTATAAGGTTTTTTACTATCATTAGTGTATTAGGAACTTGACCTTTTAACCTTTATGCCCATATGTAACCTGCCATAATGGAGGTTCATGGAAAAGCTTTCATGACCAGCATTACCTGTGCAATCTGAACACCAGACTTGGCAGAAACCTGAAGGAATTGAGCTGTGACTGTGCAGCAGGGTAAGTCACTCCAAATTTTGCCTTCCTTATAAAAGGTAAGGGTCCAGAAAAACTATGACCAAGATTTCCTCAAATCACAATGTTTTATCTGAACAGAAGTAAGTTGCATTTACAAAATTGCTGATATTAACAGTCTAGTATTAGCAGGGTAAATGCCTGGAGATAAGAATTAAGATTGCCTGCTGAGCATCCAAAACTCCACAGCATCAGCAGGCACTAAAGCAGCAAGAAGCTTGGAAAAACGGCTCCACATCTGATAGGGAAAAGCACAATAAATCAAAGATAAGGCAAACTTTCTAGATAACCAGGAGCATTTAGTGCCATTCCTCTACAGGAAATGAGTCAACACAGCCTCCATGCTTTCCCTGCCTTTCTGCCAATTTACATCTTAATGGATAAACTGGTTCAAGTTACTCATTTGGCAAAGCAAGGGATTGATTTGCAACTTTTCATCTTGACTGCTCCCATCAACTTCTGCAGGGCTGTTCAGGGCAACTGAGCACAGCCATCGCAGGCATTTAAAGATTAACAGGCTTTTGCAGCATTCCAGGGGGATGACAAAGCCATCAAAATTCATTATTTTTTCCCCAGTATTTCACACACATTACACGTGACTGCTGCAGTTATTACACCAGTGGCTTTTCAGAAATCTTGCAGTTTAATTCTGGGATAGTGGGGGGTTTTTCCCCTTGAAGACCCGAGTTATGAGATTACGAGCAGAATCTCCAATTTCATTGAAAGTGTATTTTTTGTCCTTGTGTTTGCAATGCAAAGCCTTGAAATGCGAGCTGAGTTACAAACGATCAGTTGTTCAGTTGCACTACTTAGCATGAAAGCGAGTCCAGTGGGAGCCAAAGCAAGGCTTTTAGAGGAATATGGTACCACTCATACACTCCACCTGGAGGGGAACAGAATGTCTGAATTCCTGGATACTTCTGTACACTTGATGAGTGTGAGTGAACTCATGGGGCTCTGTCGCCCTTCCACCTTCCAGAGGACCTTGTCACCTCAGGGGAAAAGGGATGTGATTATTTGGGGACAACATGGATGGTGGGAGCATCCGCTCAGTTCTGGGTGGTGACCTGCACCTCGATCTTCCCCTTAAGTTCAGGAGGGCATGGACAGCACCCCAACCTCCTCTTGCAATTTAAGGGTGACACAGAGCACCTCAACCTCCGTGTTCAGAGCCAGAGGCCACGGACAGCACCTCAACCTCCCTCAATTTAAGGGTGTCCCAGAGCACCCTGACCTCCCCATTCAGAGCCAGAGGTCAGGGACAGCACCCCAAACTCCTCGCTCAGTTTAGGGGTGGCACAGAGCCCCCCCAGCCCTCCCGCTCGGTGCCGGAGGTCAGCGCCCACTCCCCGCCGGTGTTGGGCCCTCGGGCCGCACCCCGGCCCCGCCCGCGGGCTGCGCTGGCTGCCCCGGCTCAGGGAAGTTCGCGCCCCGGGGCCGCGGGTTCGAGCCCCGAGGGGGGCGGCCGGTCCGGGGCCGTGTCGGGGGCGGCTCCCGCCGGTTCTTGCCGGGGGTCCCGGCCGGGCAGCGGCGACCGCGGGCCCAGCGCACATGTGCGGCCGCCCGGCACATGCTCACTGAGCGCGGCGCATGAGCAGAGGCGGCGCGGGGCCATCGGACATCTTGGGCCGCCCCGCACGGAGCGCCCGCCCGCCCTGGCGCCGGCTGCCTGCCCCTCCCGCGCTTCCCCCGGGCTGCTCTGAGCATCCCTCCGCCCCTCTTGCATTTGTCTTAATTCTTCTCAGAGACAAGATGGCAACGCCGGCGGCGGTAAACCCTCCCGGTGAGTAGCTGCCGTCTCGCCCCAAGTGGCCCCGCCGCACAACACGCCCCCGCCCCGGCTGCCCCCGCCCGGCCCGGCGCGCTCCCCACAGCGGTGCCGCCGCTCCCGGGGCCCCGGGCCGGGCAGAGCCGGGCAGAGCCGGGCCAGCGGAGCCGGCAGCCCGTGGGGGTTCCTCGGGGCACGCCGCCCCTCTGGCCCCGGCTGCAGCCGTGCAGACACGAACAGTGGTGCATAAGCATTGGCGGGCAGGGCAGCGCCGTGCGGAGCCGTGCCTGCCCTGGGGATCGGTAGCAACACTGGCTTCCCCTGCCCTGCGTTTGTCAGCTTTATTGTCGGCTCGAGAAGCCGAAAAAACGGTGTTGAAACTGACCGGGGGTCAGGAAACTGACCAGGAGAAACCTCGGCATGTGCCCTGTGTTTGTTTTCTTTCCAAAGGATGCAGTAAATATTTGCTGTTAGTACCAGAGCTATTGACAAAAGAAACTTACAAACATTTTCCCATTCCGTTTTTTCGTGAGGGAATTCCCCGACGTTTTGTTGCGTGTCTGTGAGATGTAACATCTGTTTTGTTCAGTGCCTGATGGAATAAAGTGAGTTTGGGTGAAAGGCCAGAGTGGTATTTTGGAGATTTACTTGGGTCAATTTGGTGTGGATCAACAAGTATCTGACACTAAAAATAATTGGGATGACAGATATTGTACTCAGTACTCAGGAAGAGTATTGCTATTAAAGGTCAATTTCATTTTTACTTGTTTTTAATATGTGCTTGCATGGTGTCATTTTTTGTAGAGTCAGGTTGAGTTCTGACAATTAAAGGCTTGCTTGAGTAAATGCCAACTAATGTTTAAAGCTTGTTCATTAGATCAAATCCTGCTGTAGTTGGTAGTGTAGTTGACATGCTGAAAGTAAATATTGTGATATAAACAATGAATTTGGTTCAGTAAGCGCCAGTACACTAAGCAGAAACTGATATTTGTCAGTCAGAGTAGGTTTTAATATCAGAGTTCTACATATTAAATTAAAATCAATATTTAAGGGAAGGTTATGAAATTAATGCTGTTTAGCTTTCATGGTACCGTGTTGTGCATCATAACAGAAAGTTTCACTGGGTGCACTCAGTAGAATTAATTTTGCAGGCAGAGGAGGATACAAACAGCATTTTTTGACTTGTCTTTGATTTGCCATTCTCCTGTGTGCTCTCCAAGCTACACGCTGAAGGAACAGCCCTGTCCGCTTAGGGGCCAGTGCTGAAACTGCTGAGTTACAGCAGAGCTCAGTGCCCCTTTGGCACCAGCCTTTTCCACTTTCTGTACACCTGCCTGAGGCTGAACCCACAGAAATATGTGGTTGCAGGAGGTACAGCATGCTCCAAACTGAGTAGGGCTTCACCGTGCCCCTTTGGCACCAGCCTTTCCCACTTTCTGTACACCTGCCTGAGGCTGAACCCTGAAAAGGTTTGGTTTCAGGAGGTACAGCATGCTCCAAACTGAGTTGGGCTTCACAATTGTTCTCCTGTGAGCACTTGGTGAATTGAGGGATTGTAATGGGATTACTGAGGAAGCATAAAAAAGAGGAAAGAAGGGCCGGGTAGGTGTGTTGCCTGTGGGCATCTCTGTGAAAGTTGACCTGCAGTGTGGTCCTCACACTCTCTGAAGCACAGGTTGCTGGTCCTTGGGGAGGATAAGGAAAGGTGTTGGTTTCCTGAAGGGAACCAAGATCCCTTCTGCAGGGCTGGGGTTACAGAGCATCGTTCTGCTCCTGTCTGGGTGGCTGCAGCAGATCTGAGCTGAAAGGCAGACTTGCTGCCTGTTAGGGAGCCTCCCACGTTTTCTGAGCATGAGAAGTGTTGTTGTCAGACACCGGGGCGAAGTGGAAGTGGGGAGCTGTGAGGAGAGGAGACCCTTGGTCTGTAGCATAGTGCTGCCTTTGCTCTACCACGGACAGCAGAAGGTAGAGCTGTGTGAAATACCTGCACTTGTACTGTGGCTTTTTAAAATCATAATTTGTCGCTGTTCTTTTTTTCTTTTAGTAAGTAACTGCAAAGCAATGCAGCGAAACAGGCAAAATCTGTAGCGAAATGATTTTAATCCTGTTATTTTCTCTTGGGGACAGATCCTCAGCTGGAGTAAGATGAAAGTAGCCCTATTAGTATTGGTGAAGCTGTGCCACCTTGTGCCAGTTGACTTTCTGATCTGCAATGTTAGGGGACCACAATAGAGGATTAACTTGTTAAGCATCTTTAATGATGATTAGAAATTACAATATGATTAAATTTTTATTAAGCAATTGTCTGGGGTTCTAATAACAGTTGGTAATTTAGGCAGGACATTAACTTGCAGCTACCACAATACAAATACATGTGGTTTTAGTCATATTCTAGATAGTGGAATGGGGATTAGTGGAGAGAGAAGAGCTGGGTGTTCTCTAACCATGTGAGGGTCTTTCAGTGTGGGATCTCGTGCTGCAGACCCATGCAGTGCTCTGTGACAGCATCTTCTCTCTTGTGTTAGATGCAGATTTATCCTTTATCCTTTTCCCCGCTGATTTTTTTTTAATGGAGAGCTTCAGTTTGTGAAGTTCATAGAAGTGGGAGCAGTTTGGATCCTTTCCCTCCTGAGGCTCACAGGAACTGCAGTGTCAGGGACCAAATTTGTGGTGGCAGTAAGGCCACCTCTGTGGCTTTGTGGGCTGTGTTAGATGTACACTGATGGTTCTTTTTGGTGAGGGTGTATGGATGCAGCTGGGCATCACCCTGACACAGCTGAGGGGCTGTGTGGGAGAAGCTGCTTCCTCTTGCTGCAGGCTCAGCCTTGGAACGGGTCTGGCTGGGAGTGCTGGGTTGGTTCCTCGTACTCTGGGTGACAAACTGAAGTGTGAAACAATACAGGTGTGTGGGAAGCTCATCTGCATTGGCACAAAGCATCACAGTTAATTTATTTCCTCCTGAAATAAGATTGGCATATTAAATGCGATTTAAGAACAAAAAAATTGTGGAGGTGTTACAAGCATTTTGTATATTACTGCTTGCAGCAAAGTAACTTGGTGCCATGTCTGTTTGAAAGGTGTTATTTTTGGAATGCAAACTTTGTCCGTAACTGCTGCTACTTTGTGTTTGGATTTTACTTAACTTGAGTGCAACACATGAAGGGGTGATTCTTGTATTAGCCAGAGTAGGATGAAAACATAAAACTCTTCATGAGTTTAGGAGTTTTTTATCCTAAGAGATCAGCTGGTTTTGGGTGATGAGTTCCAGTCTGGCTCAGTCTGATGGGTGAGCAGCAACTTCATGCTGTGGTCAGCTGGTGAGAAATGAACTGAAGGCATCATTTCAGTTCTCCCACTGAGGTACTCCGGAATGGAAGGTTGTACACACAGATTGCCAAAATGCCACAAACTCAAAAGTCAAGTCAAGAGAAATCATGAGATTTTGCAGTTTATCTAGAGTTACTTTGGAGGGATGCATTTTTGGTGATGTTTTACAATTTTATAAATCCTTAGGGCTGTATTTTTATATTTAATTGAAAAAAAAAAGTAACTGAGTTGTTTGTGTAATCCCTAAAGCTCCTGGTATAGAGAATATATCCTCCAAAGGGCATCTACTAGAAATATGTAGAGAGAGATGTTGTGATGTGAGAGAGAGGAATTGCTGGGGCTTAGGACATTGCTGCAACCACAGCAGCTCATGAGGGGTACTTTCAGCCCATGGCTAATCCAAACTATGAAAAAATTGGCATTTTAACTTAAAGAAAGATTATTAAATAAGCTCTCTTTACTTTCAGTTTGTAGTGAGTTAACAGGAAATTTTCTGTCATATTCATGAAGACTTGTAAGCCCTGCATCTGGGCTCTTGGTTAGGTGAGTGCATTGGGTTCTGGGAGGTGGTTTTGGGGTTTATGTGTTTGTTTGACCTGGGAGTTAATTGGACAGAAATCATTCTTCTATTTGAACTAGATATTCTGAGTCCTACTCAGTCCTACATTGGAGCTGAAGTTCCTAAGGTGTTAAGTGCTGTGGAAGAATTTTTTTGATGCTGCCCAGTTCATTTTCCCAAAAGGAACTGACTTGCTGACAATCTGGCCATTCTTTTCTTTAGATTTCCAACAGCTTTGAAATTGATGATTAAAAAAAGTGTTTTAGATTTCAAAATCACTCAACTCAAAGCCCAAAAGTTGTGTTTTATTGCTGCTGCTCTGCCCTTCATTACAACACAAGCTATCCAGTAAACTAAAGAATCAATTTAACAGCATCCTGGGGAGTAAATGGAGTGTTGTAGTGATGGAGGTTATAATGAGCTCTGATATTTCTGGTATGCAAAAAAGTAGTCATCATTCTAGGATAAAGTTAAAAAAAGGGTCTCAAAATTAGAACACTCATTAGCTAATGGGAGGTTTACATTGCAGATCGTTTTCTTCTTGTGTTTTCATAGCTCTGGTACTGCAGAATTGGTCCTTAATTCAGTCAAAATGTGGTATGAGATGCCAATGCCTCTTGAATTGTTCTGTGATAATGTTTTGTCCTTCAGGACTGTGTACTGAACAGTAACTGGCATTGAAGAAACGTCATTATTTTTATATTTCTAATATATAGGTATAGGGTATACAAAAGATTTCATCTCTTCTATCACAAAATAGTTATTTAAAATTTGCATATGTAGCTTGTGGTTGGTTCCAAATATTTTTTTCAATAGAATAATGTTTTCCCATTCCTCTAATAAAAATGCAAAACAAAAGAGATATTGCTGATTTCTGTAATACCATATGGTGTTGCTGATACTTCTTAGCAGTAAGGAAAATTGCAATAGAGATTAGGTAGAAAAGAAAAAAAAATAGCCTTTTCAAAATAGTCAAGGCAAAATAACCCTGTTGATGTAGTGATTATTGTTATTAAGAGGACAGAAATGGGGCTGTCATTATGAAGATGTATTCAGAGATTATGCTTAAATGGTTGTGAAGATCAGATATGTGTGTCGCTCAGAGTAATTTTGGGGGGCTTACTGCTTC